TTATATCCCTTTATGGAATTTAGGTATTATTTCTCAAATAACACACTTGAGATTTAATGAGGAAGGAGCTGAGTTAGAGACAGTGATTTCAGTTGGATGTCATTTCATTCCATATTCTAATATAGGATGTCTGTCGCTTGTAATGCGATTGACAATATGCCCATCAAACGTGCAGAAAAACAAGAGGTATGACTTCTTTATAATTCAAAAACAATTTCTAAAAGAAGCGATGTTTCTCACTTTGTGAAGACAAAGTGTTAACAAATAAGGATAGTAGTATGTACTTAAAAAATCATGCTGTTTAGTGTGTGTCTCTACATGTATCCAAATTACTAATTTAGTCTAAAATACAACCCTGTTTTTCATGTATGATTTCAGTAATGTAGAACATAATGCAATTCTTGGCCAGAAAATTCACTCTTTCAACATCTCTATTATCTGTAAATAAATGTACGTATAATTGGAGGGCAGATTTGATACTACCAGCTGTGCCAAAGAGAAGGGGACCTTTCACAGTAGTTATTCTCTATGATACTACTGGACTCTGAATCCAGCTGAGGTTCACAGCTATAAGGTGAAATTGGCCCTCAGAGACCATTTCTCCAATTATCAGGAAAAGATCTGACCAAAGGCATTTAAAAATGAAACCTGACCTACACTTCAACTCTACAACAATGGTCTGCCTGCTCCAAAACAATGCATGACCTTTAAATCTTAAATTATAAAATACTTTGTTGAAAGTGTAATGTATTTAGCTTTTATCTAATAATATAAAGAAATGCTATCATTCACTTGCAAAAACCAGAGAAAGAAATAGCAAAAAAGGTCCCATTTTCACTACTTATAAATGAAATTACCAGCCATAATAAATGAGTATTTTCACAAATTTGACTGGAAATTTTGATTTGGATGTTAATAGACATAAAAATGACAGTCCTATCCAAAGTTTAATATATATGAAACTGGTCTTAAATGTGAACTCTTAAATATTCCTCTCTTTCTTTTTATCTCTTTGTTCTTCATGCATGGAAAAATTCTAATATTTAAACTATACTTAGTATATGTTTACCTTATTTCTTCCCTATATATTTATTTTACTATATGTTTGCTATAGGAAAATCAGTACACAAACTTGGTTTAGTGATGAAGACACAGCAGATGTGAGGAGGCCTAGAAAGAGTCAAGGATAACTTCAGAAATAAGCACAGGACTAATGAAAATGTTAACCCCCAAACTGATTGATTCATTCCACATATGTTTATTGAGCACCTGCTATATGAATTTTGATTGGTCTTATGAGGTTTATAAACCATTTGCAAAACTGGTCCCTTAGGATACCAAGTCAAATCTTTGACTATGAAGTGGATTTCAATTTAATAGGTATATGGCTTTGTGCTAGGGACTATGGTTTTAAAGATGGATGCATAAAAATAAACAGACACACCAGGATCTGTTAAAGAAATTAATTGTGAATTTAGTAACTTCCATTGTGGATTATTTAGCAATGAGAGGACACACTAATCATATAAATCTTTATACTTAATGATGTAATAAAGAACACCTGGGCACTGATAGCTGCATTTTGATCCCATTTATGATATCAATTAGAAAAAAAATTTGCAAAAGGAGCAACTAGTGTTGGAATGTGTATTTATTAGTATCTTAGCCAATTTTAATTTAGCTATATTTTCAAATTCAGTTTTTTTTTCCTAACCTTTCACACCATCAGTGGTCAATTCCTTGGCCGTGCAATCCGTCATGATGCCACCAAAAAGGAAGAACTAAGTCCAAGAAGATCAAAACCTCATGAAGTTCTGTTACTCACCAGACTTGTGACCTTGGGTGAATATCCTAACCACTCTGATCTCAGTTTCTTTACCTACAAAACAGGACTCATGGGGCTTCCCTCAGGAGATCAGTGTCAGAATGAAATGAGATATTGAGAAAAAATGTGGAAAGATTTTTGTGAACTAAAAGTAATAAATCCAAACCATGAACTTTAGTTGGATCCTAGTTCAGAGGTTATTTGGCGGGTAGAAAGATTATCAAAGACATTGTTGGTCCATCCTAAAAATTTTAATATGAATTGAATATTAGGTGATATAAAGAAATAACTCCTATTAATTCTCTTAGCTGTGATAAAAATGTTTGGATTACAAGAATAATGTCCTACTGTCAGAATATGCTTGCAGAAGTATTTAGAAGTAAAGCCTCATGATACATGCTACTCAGTTTCAAATGATTCAGGGAAGGGGAAAAGTGTGTACACACAGAGAGAGGGAGGGGGTGAGGGAGAGAACAAGAGGTAAAAGTGAATGTGGCAAAAAATAATTGTTGAATCTGGGTGGAGGGATACATGAGGTTGATTTTACCATTAGTTGAATTTTTTATGTATTTGGAAATTTTCTAAATAAAAAGTTGAGTAGAAGAACAATTAAATGAAATAATGTCATTAATGCATGTGGCTCCTATTAGATGCAGCTAGTGCTTAGTAGATAGTCTAACCTCCAGTTTAGGATGATCACTATCTTGTCACACTTGCTGCTGTGCAGTGTGAACAGTACATTTGGTTTAAAAAAATGAACATAAAAGTTTAAACCCTCTAAAAAAGGATGTCTCAGAGTCCATCAGGGTCAAAAGCTGAGAGGAGGTGAAGTTCTGCTTCCTTGGGAACACCAAGCACCTACAACTTAGAGGTGAAGGACATTGACTCTTGAATCTAACCACCTGGACTCAAATCTGTGATGGGAGGAGCAAGATCACCTCAGATGACTTATTTAACTTTTGACTCAATTTTCCCAACTGTATGATGCTAAATAAAAATACTATTGCTCCTAACTTGTAATATCATTTTAAAGATTAAATAAGATAATGCACTCCAAATGGTGCCTTGTACATAGTAAGTACCCAAATGTTAGCTATTATTATTATGAAAATAATAATAGAAGGGTAAATAATACAGTTCTATTCCAGTGTACCATGATATAAGAGGTCCCGTCAGCATTTATTCAGAAATGCTCTTTCACCTATTAGACCAAACCTAAGGCAATATATTTAGGAACTTCCTTTAATTTTTGTTCTAGCCCTATAATTTTCACTTTAAAAAACCCTATTTACCTATTCTTGCTTTGGCCCTCTTTACAGAGAATTCTAATAAAAGCAATGAAGTTTCCACATGACAAGTTTTTATGTCATTCCCAAACATCAACAGGAATTCTTAAATTAGTATAAATCTAATGTTTTATATTATAAAAGCTATAAATTCAATTAGTATAAAATGAACCAAATGTTTCAGAAATCTTTTCTGAACTTATAATATCTGCATTCTATGTGCCCTCAAGTAACTTAAAAGGGATTGTTGGTTTCAATGTTCCAGAACCTCAGAGAAACTGCGTTAGTGTTTTAGGGCTTTGTGGACTTCTATTTATACCCAAATTTTTAGCTGGGGCATTCTGTGAAAGTTTCTACTCTTGTCATCTTGGAGATAACTCAAAGGGTATAACATTTTGATCTACTATAAGATGATTAATATGATAACAACTATATATTCATTTGTCTCATTAAAAAATATATCACTAAAATTTTAAAATCCAAATTGTGACAAATCCTCTTTCAACATTCCTGAGACAGTCCAATAGTAACCAAATGCCTTATTTATAGAGTGCCTTACAGTTTCCAAAGGCATGTTTATACACACCATTACATTGGATCTTCACAGCAATCCCCTAAAGGGTCTGATCAGTTGTTAGCCCCAGATTACAGGTAGGGAAAATGACATTCATGGTGGGGAAATGAAATCTGCCCAAAGTTGTCCAGGAATTATAGGTGGGCAAGCCTTATACAAGCCTTATATATCCACTCTGGCCATTTTCCCACATCTGGGCTTCCACTCCCTCATCTGTGCAGGCTACCTGTGCTGTCAGATTCATCATGCCTTTCCCGAGAGAATCTACACTGCATCCCCCGGGCTGGCCATGCCATTCTGGACTCTGAGCCACCTATCGGGCCACATCTAACAGTTACTTACTCAGAACCCTAAGGGGAGAGCAACAGTTCTGGCTACTTAGCAAGATATAAAGACCTAGAGAGACTATGAACAACCAAATTTGTCAAGTAAACTGAGAATGCGAGTTCTTTTTACTGAGGTACATCAAAAGGAATTCCACTTTTGGTCCTTCCTAACTGCAGAAAAGTTACTTACCCTCTCTTAGACTCAGCTTCCTCACCTAGAGAGTGTGACCACTGCCACTAGCCGGTCAAGCTTATGCTGACCACAAAAAAAGAAAATGTGTGAGGAAGTGTGTAAAAGTATGTAGCCCTTAGTAAGATCTTGATAAATATTTATAAAGTTGGAATAAACCTTATGAATGAATAAATGTATAAATTTTAAATGTGTTGTACAACAGAGAGTAGAAAATATAGGCTGAGTATCCCTTATCTGAAATGTTTGGGACCAAAAGTGTCTTGGATCTCAGATTTTTTCAGATTTTGGAATATTTGCATTATGCTTCTGAATTGAGCATTCCTAATCCGAAAATCCAAAACTGAAATGCTCCAATGAGCATTTCCTTGAGTGTCATGTCACCACTCAAAAAGTTTTGGATTTCAGAGCATCTTGGATTTTGGATTTTCGGACTAAGAAAGCTCAGCCTACATATAACCCAATATTATAAATTAGATATCTTGATTTTAATTAAATACACAAATGCCTACCTACTGCAATTTGTTATCTAAAGAGACATTGAAAATCATTTTACTAGAATTATCTTACCCTAAATTACAGCTAAATAAGCTTCACGAAATATCTAAAGTACCAGTAGTAATGGACAGTTGGCTAGAATATGTGTGTTTGATTTTGCAGAAAATTTGAACTTTTACATTTGATGAAGCAACAAAAACATGGCTATGCATGTTACCAGGAGGAGGAAAAGGAGGCAGGTAATTTTCCTGAGAAGGCAGACTGGGACAGATTTGGGTGGGGGAGTAGGAAGTGAAAAACCTGACCCGGAGCATTGAAGATTCTAGAAGAGATGGTGCAATATGTGGTTACTCCACATGCTCTCAAGGGTCCTGGGGCTGACACTCAACAGCTCTCTCCAAAGTGAACACGCATTCTGGGTACTGGGATATCCCTTCTCTCCCAGAAAACATAAGAACCTCCTAAACCCTTATCTTATGCAGGAACTCGATTGTGACCTGTACACTCACCAGTTGGTTCTGGTAGGCAGTGACTGCTGTAAAGACTGTCTCTGGGAAGATAAATGTTCTAAATTCTTCAGACTTCAGATTGAGTAATGAGGCCGTGTGGTCTTTCTTCTTAATGATGTGCACCCTTGGCTGGTACTTATGCATTGAGTTCAAAATTATCTACAAGAAAAAGATGGGAAGTACTGAATTTTACATATTTACACTGCTAGACGGGCTAACTCACAGTGAGAAAAAAAAAAAAAAAAAAAAGAACCGTAAGATTTATAATTTCAAAGTGAATTTTAAGATTAGGTTCTACCTTTTCCATTCTTAAGGCAAATTATTTTCATAAGATACTTCAGAGTCATTGTGAATCATATTTTACCAAAACAACTGAGTAACACATGTTGTTTCAAGTGTTCTTTCTGAAATGATTATGGGGGGTCATCTGAAGGATAAGTTTTATTTCTTTTTAAAATCAAGTCCTCAAAATATTTTTTGTTTGCTCGTCTGATTAGACCAAAGGATGCATGTCTAAATTTTCTAAAATAAGAAATCATATATACCAGGGGGTCAGATTACTATTTACGGGGGAAAACAAAACAATTTAGAAAGGCAGTATGATATTAGACAGACGTGGGTTAGAACACTGAATCTGCCACTCTCTAGCCCTATAATCTTAGGTCAAGTGATCTCACCTCTTCTACCTCCAGTTTTCTCAAATGTAAAAATAGTACTAACCTCATAGGGCCGTGGTGAGAATTAGATGATTGACCTCTGTAAAGCACATAGGAAACAGGAAGTGTTCAGTAAATGTGAACTGTATTATTTATGACAGCCTCCTTGATTCCACACTTCCAGTTATAAAACTGAACTTGAATCACAGTGATAGCCATCTTCCACTCTACAGCTAATAAAAATTGCTACATACTCGGAAGTCATAAACATACCATGGTTAACAAGACAGCCAATAGATAATATTTTTATACGTATTTTTAAAATACAATATAAAATTTTACCTTATGAAATCTGGGAAATAAAATTCACTTTCAGATATAGAAGGTTTCCCACATCTTCCCACCTGCCACCCAGACACCTATCTAAATCTGCAAAATTGGGTATGTCTTTCCTGTGATGAGAGAGCTCACATTGTATACTCTCCTCCCCCAAAACCCAGAAGAGAGTCTGGTTCTCAGGAGACATTTGATAAACAGTATGACAGGATCAATGGCGTTCACGGCTGGTTGCTACGCCTAATATTGCATCTGATGGCTCTCTTGCTTTCTTGGCTAATATGGGTGTGGAGAATGACTGTTTCTGCTGATTGACTTTGGCAGAGTTAATACTAGTCACTGTGTGATAACTGATATATAATCAATCTCTCTCTGTGCTGAGATGTAAGCCTACTTAAATTACAGGGCATTAACTGGGACTGAATTTTGAACACACTGCCTTTTTATGATCCCAAACTGGAACAGAAATAACTAAAACAAGTGAAATCTTCAAACATATCAAAATAAACTTTAAAAAATGATAATGGTATCTATTTGTATACTGCTTTTATTCCAAGGAGTTCGAGATATTGACACTCAATCATAAAACTGGAATAAACTTACAGTAACAAAAGCAAACATTTTCCTCCTAATACTATTAATAATATAAGAAAAAACCTTAACATTGAAGATAGGAAAAATTTTCAAATCACTTTCATCCACTCACACATACCTATACCAAAATGGAAAAAGCTCTTAGCTTTAAATAAGCTTCCCCTCCCTCACTTCTACCACGCAAAGGTCAATTTCCTTTGGGAAAGGGTGCTGGATAGGCTCAGACCCCAGACTAAGTCTCTCAGCCCCCAAGGCTCCCTGACTCTCTGCTCAAGCCCTCATGGGCTAAAGAACACTAATAGAAATGTGGAGCCTGCTTCACTCATTAAATTCCCGGGAATAAGAAAATTTCCTGTTGTAAAACTAAAAATGCATCTATAAGAGGAGCTTCTTCAGAACTGATTCAAAGAAATTAGCTAAACAACATAGGATCTAAGAATCTTTCCTTGTAGTTTTCATAACACACTAATTCAAGTGACAAAGGGTTATACTAAATATAAAACTTTTAAATCAAAAATGCATACAGGCAACCATCTAAGACTAAACAATTTGTCAAGGTCTAATCTTGGCATAATCAGGCTAGAACCCAGAGCTCCTGAAACCCAGTTTACCACCCATGAAGCTGATATTAAAACAAAAACATTTCAATTCTGGACAGCTGATCCCAAAATGAACTCTCAAGTCTTTTTAGAAAGACCCAGATAATTCCTCTAAAAGCTCACATGTGGAAAATACCAGAACCATAAAACAATTTCATTCTTCCCTTCGAGGATTTCGGTTAGACCTCAAAAAATTTTAATATGAATGATATTAAGAACGATCATTGACCTACAAAAAAATTACTCAGATACTTCATAAAATTTAACCTGAAAAAAAAATCTGTCAGTGGAAGCATCTTAAAAGGAGAATTATGCCAACATGCTTAAAAATAAAGGTCAATTACTTTTTCTAATACATAAAACAACAGAAACCTATTAACCTACTTCCAATACCCCAGCAGCACCACCAGCAGAGACATGACTTAACCTGGTTCCCCTGATTTAGTTGTAATAAACAAGGTCTCCTTATGGGCAAATGGATGGGAGTAACACCTGAAGTGATTAATTTGGTTCCAGGTTTATTCTAACCACTTGAAACCATATCTAGAACTCTCCTTGTAGAAGACAGTATTTTTGAAGAAAAAAAGAGAAAAAAAATAAAAAAGAAAAAAAAAGAACTCTCTTATTGTCTACTTAAGGCCATCTTTTTTGAGAAAGGTTTTGAAGCACTTCCTCTAAATTGCACAGATCCAATAAAAGCTAAAACCTTAAGTAACAAGAGCTATACTCAATAAAGGGGATAAGAGAAAGAATAATTATATCAGAATATCTAAATTAAGGAAAGAAACTATGTAAATACCCGTGTGCTTTCTGAGAAGGGGAGCAAAAAAGAAACAACATTCTCATCAAAAAGAAGTTTGCAACAGAAAGACAAATACCACATGTTCTCACTCATGTAGGAGCTAAAAAAAATTAATCTCACAGAAATAGAGTAGAATAGTGTTTATCAGAGGTTGGGAAGGGTAGGGAGGAGGGGAATATAGGAAGAGGTTGGTTAAAGGGTTCCAAATTATAGTTAGATAGGAGGAATAAGTTTTAGTGTCCTATAGCACAGTAGGGTGCCTAGAATTAACAAGAATTTACTGTGTATTTCAAAATAGCTATAAGAGAGGATTTTGAATGTTCCCAGGACAAATGTTTGAGGTGACAGAAATGCTAATCACCCTGATTTGATACTTACATGTCATATACATGTATTGAACTATCACATGTACCCCATAAATATGTATATTATTATGTAACAATTTTAAAATTTTTTAAAAAGAAAAAAAGTAGTATGTAAGTCTGCCTAAAGTTTTCTTAGCATAAAATCTAAAACAGAATTTTTATATGAATCTTTATTCAAGAGTATGGAATCACATCCAGGAGAGTGGCTTAAAAAAGCATTTTATCAAATGTGTAAGGGCCTGCATCAGTGGCCATTTGTTCTATTAACTATTATTATGAGCTCAGATTTCTAAATTCCATGTCTTCCACATTTTAATAAACTATTAACACAAAATCAAACTGTTTTGTTTTTAATTATATTATTAATATGTTTTTAATTATATTAATATTATTTAATATTAAAGCATAGAGAATGATTTAATATTCACAGAACTTTCCAAAAAGAGGTTACATAATAAGTAAACAGCACTGTCCCAAAGTTATTTGGACATAAAACCCTTTTGTTCTATTGCATCTCACATGAATGTGTTCTACAGAACACATTTTGGGAAACTCCCATAGGAGGTCTTAGCTCCATTCCCTTTATGCCATGTTGTTATCTGATATACTACCGACAGAAGGTAGATGCTTAACCCAAGAACGGGCTGCCATAGCCTCCAAAAATGCATATTTCCTTTGTTTAGTTGGCTTAGGTGGTGAAACAGTCGGGGAAGACTTGGGAGACACATGGTACAGAAGATGCCTGATCCTCTTATACAGAAATGGCGCACAGCATCCCTGTAAATCTGCGGTGCCCGATCCCAAGACCTCGGCCAGTCTGAGGCCTGTTATAAACCGGGCCGCCCATCACTGTCGCCTTCCCCCCACCAGTCCGTGGAAAAACTGTCTTCCACAAAACTTAGGAACTGGGCAGCACAACAGGAGGTGAGCGGCGGTCGTGCAAGCAAAGCTTCATCTGTATTTACAGCTGCTCCCCATCACTCACATCACCACCTGAGCTCCGTGCCCCTGCCCGTGGAAAATCGTCTTCATGAAACCAGTCTTGACAAAAGCAGTGAGGGTCCCCTGAAGAACACATAATGTTCTCATAGAATGACTCAGAGATGGAAGGTGGGAAGCAGAGAGGGAGAGTAGGAAGGAACTCAGAGAGAAGAAGTTTTATGTGACTTGTTCATTCCATCCCAGGGAACAGGCACAGTCCAAAGCACCATACTTACATGGCCATGTTGATCCAGTTCATTGTTGGTGAGTTTCACCTTTTCAAAAGACACCATCTGTTTGAGTAGCTGGTCGCCAGTAAAAGGAGAGTCTGGGTGCACATAGAGCCTAAGAAAGTTACAAGACAATTTTACCGAGATATTTTTTAAAAATCTGTCTCTGTGGGTTATAAAATGTTCTGATCCTAAAGGAATACATAAGCCTAATGAAAATGGTAAATTTTATTTTCCCCATATGCCTCAAATTTATTAATACTACAATACCAAAATAACTTTAAAACATGTAAAGTATTTCTTCATGTTCCAATGATCTAAAAGACGTGATGCTTAATCAATTTTCTATTATCTGCTGAGCAAGCCATTTTTTAAAGTTGTATTGTCTTTTTCCATCTATCTAGTTAGCTACTGATCTGCTTCTGTCAAATACAAAATCTTATTGTTGGAGATACTTTCAAAAGATAAACTAGGTTACGCTAATTGCATAACGAATTCCTATTATAAGCATGTCTAAAAACCAATGAAAACAAAGAAATTTTTAAATTTATTTTACTTTTTTACAGATGGGTCTCGTTCTGTTGCTCAGGCTGGAGTGAAGCAGCATGATCACAGCTCACTGCAGCCTTGAACTCCTGGGCTCGAGTGATCCTCCCACCTCAGCATCCCAAGTAGCTGGGACTACAGGTGCATGCCACCATGCCCAGCTAATTTGCTTTAAATTTTTTTTAGAGACAGGATCTCACTATGATGCCCAGGCTGGTACTGAACTCCTGGGCTCAAGTGATCCTTCCACCTTAGCCTCCCAAGTTGCTGGGATTATAGGCATGAGCCACTGCACCAAACAATATAAAAGAGAAAACAAAAGAATATGAAAGAGAAAATAATTTTAGAGAATCTATTCTTTAAAGCTTAAAGGTGACTCAGTTTAAAGTTTGTGTTCTTTATAAATGCAAGACAGAGTTATTTTAATACAGTGACATGGAGAACTTTGAATAGTCTGCAGATCAGAGTTGAAAGTCTATTGCTTCTGGTAATTTAAACATTACCACTGTCATCATCAACTGTTTATGTGCTCACTAAATCAGTTGAAACAAGCTGGATACATTTTAAATTATTCAATTTATTTATCTGTAAACAGCTTTAGCAAAAAACAGTGCTTTGAGGGGAAAAAATTATCATTTATTGATCAGTTGCTATGCACAAGGCAATCTTTTATTCACTCACGTTTAAATGCACGTCATTTGTTCTACCTATGACCACCACCCTCAGTACAACTCTTTGTGAATCCCAATCCTAATATCTTCTTCACTTAAAACTTTCTGAAGTTAGAGAGAGACTACAGGACTAACAAAGAAGAAATGAAATCTCTGATTTAATAGGAAAAATTTCTTTATCCATGTAACAAGTTATTATTTGTATCTAAATTTTATATAGGATCCTTACAACAATAATTAAACATAAATATTTTGGTTAGGGCAAAAGTAAAGAGAAAAAAGTCATGAAACCTTTCCTTGTAATATTCACGTGAAGAACAAGAAGTCTGTGCATGTTTTGTCACACGGGACTAAGAGTAGAAGAATTGTGCACACATGCTGAAACTCACAAAGCCCACCAGGATCAATGCACAAAAAAAAGGCTGACAGCACTGAAGATTCTTACCAGACCTATGGAAGAACTTTAAAGCCTTCAGGCATTTGTCTGCCTGTTTATTGCATTGTTTTTAGGAGGAGTGCTCATAATTGTCTTTCAATTATTCTTTGGTAGTACAACCACTTTTCAAGGGTCATCTCTCCCAGGCTGTAACTTTATAGGTGCAGTTGTTTTCCTGATCAGAACCACATTCTTCCCTCCAAAAAAGTCCAAAATTGTTTAAAGTCCTAAAAGTTGATAAAATGTTCCCTCTTTAAGGATCACATTCACCATATGAAATCACATTAATAGAATATTAATTTATTTACATATGAATTATGTACTTTAAAGAAAAAGAAATGACCTATATGAAAATGTAACATTATTTGAGATCATAAATAATGTTTTGACCATTATTACGATCAAATGGTATCATCAAACATTATCTCTTGATTAGAAATGCCTGACCGATGAAATTCAGTCTAAAATAAATTGCTTCAAAGATCTGGAATCACAAAAAATTCTTATCATCAGTACAAAAATTATTGCCTCTCAAGTTCTTCATGTTTCTCTTACGGAGGTAGAAAATATAGTAAACTCTTTTAATAATAATAAAGAATAATTACTAATTATCTAGAATATTTCTATCCCATTATGCACTAAACATTTTTATTTAATATCAATATAAATAAACTGAACTAGGATGAATAAAAAACCATACAGGAAGCCCCTCCTCTCTCAAGTCCCCCAGGGACTTAAAATTCCAGCAATAGCTTAAACATGCTTCAGTTAAGATAGTGTATTGGTACACACTTTCCCTCTCCAACCAGAACAGATTAGTAACATAAACAAGACATGTCATATTTTCAAAGTCTTGCTGGCCTGCACCAGTTACTTCCCCATACCTTCAGATAGGAAGAAAATGTATGTTAAATAAGAATGATTAACTTCTTAGAGGACACACTAGAAAAAGGGGGGGATTGCTTGTAGAAAATGGTCAGGAATCTGCTAAAATATACACTCTCTCTTTTTCTCTCTGTTTAAAACAATATTGAAAAGTCTGAAAGGAAGTTCAAGAATAATGGTAAATTGGCTATTTAATAGTAGAGAACACTAACTCTATGAATTTTAGTATCTATTCTAAACTGTTGACTATTGCTCAACTAAAAAAATGAGTAGCAATATTTTTAAAATATCTTAGTCCTGATTGGTATTTAATATACTGATTTGGAAGGGTCAGGAAGATGTCCATCCTAGTCTCTTATGAGAATGGAAAACCCTGAGAGACTGCTTTTAATTTCTTTTCTAGTGCTGTGGTCTCCAAACCCTGGGGCGAGGACCAACTGATCCATGGACTGTTAGGAACCAACTGCACAGCAAGAGGTGAGTGGTGGGTGAGCGAGGGGAGGGAAGCTTCATCTGCATTTACAGCTGCTCCCCATCTCTCATATCACTGCCTGAGCTCCGCCTCTGCCCCCACGCAGGTCTGTGGAAAAATTGTCTTCCATGAAACTGGTCCCTGGCGTCAAAAAGGTTGTGGACCTCTGCTCTAGCACACTTAACATACTATAAGTGCAATAATGTGATCAACTACTAATTAAGATTAATATTCTATTTGAACTGTATGTATAAATTATTGATTCTATGCTTTGACCATGACTCCATACAAGACAAAAAACACTTACAAAGAACCAGCCACAACTTAAAAGTTCCTAAATCTGTACATCTAAATAAAGTCTTAGCTCTGATACAAACTTCCAATCAATAACAAAAAAATTAGATGGTCATAAAACAACTTAAAAGTTGTAGGGCTTGGTTTTAGAATCCAAAATATAAAGTTAGCTAATATTCTTTGTTTTACATTAAAGTATGCAGTTAGATTCCTATAACCTCAGCTATTATTCATCTAATCAAATACATGTTCCCCTACCACCACCCCACCAAAATGTTCATTTGGTTAAAGCAGCAACAATAAAGGTTTACTTGTGATTTTTTAATTAGTGTACTAATAGAAAAACATTATAAGCAATGATTTCCACACAAATAAATATATATGACCCCTAATATATTAACTGAGCAATGTTTCATGTAAAAGAATGTTAACTTTTTGTTGAATTATATTCATCTGCTAAAATTGCAAAGGGAAGAAAAAAAGAGTTGGCTTTTTTTTTTTTTTTTTACTAAAATCTCTGAGCCCTTTACTGGTCAAAAACAACATGATTTTACCTAAATGATGTTTATTATGTGCAGATATAACTACATGGTTAACAAATATTTATTATAAGCAACCACTTTACTAAAATACACTCTTCTAAAAAAGATTTTAGGGCAACCATTTCATCAGTAGGTTTATTCAGTCTGGTACTAAGTAGTAATTAAAAATGATGTATGTGTATGTATATACAAAATGGGTCCACATTTATAATGAACACTCAAATCAAAATTTAAGAAAAGCTTTGAAATGAATTACTGTATAACAAGAGGTAGAATTAAAGACAAATGTTTTCTCTATGCATAAACTGCCTTTCTGAGAGAGTAGCCCATTTTTCACATAGTCAATCCTGGAGTGTCCAAGCTTGGAATGCTTTCTTGCCAGAGCCCGCTGCTTTAAAAACAAACCTGCTTAAAATCCACACAAGCGGAGACATTCTGCCAGAAAAGTTAATAGGCGCATTTTGCTGGGGTGAAAAATCACAAACCTGGCTGGCAGCGGTGGGTCAGCTTTGCCGGCCACCAGCCAGGAGGACCGGTGGTAGGCGTAGCGGTACCTCTTGTTGTCCACAGGGACTATGTCCATCAGGACTATGTACTTGGCTTCAGGATCCACGCCAGAAAATGACACCCGGATGGTTGGAAACATCCTCCTGACAGAGAGACAGAGAGAAATGCCCCTGTTCACACTGCCTACGGAACTGACCGGAACCAGGGAGGGAGGGAGAGAAAGAGTCCAACTTCCCTTCCTATCTGGTCAGTCCCTAAACCCTCATTGCCCTCAATGCTAGGTGAAAAGGAAGGGGGTGGGTGGGTGTGTGTGTGTGTGTGTGTGTGTTTTAAAACCAAAAGGTCTGTGATTAGGGAAAATCCTATGCATTTTAATGATCAAGCACATTAAGACCCAAAGTCTCAGGAGCCGACCCAGTCATGCCACCCGTATCCCAGCGACAAAACTCAGTTCCTGCAAAATAAAAGCCAAGAGCGGGGTTCTCCGATGGGTTTGAAAAACCCTCCAGGTATTTCCCAGGGTCCCAAGAGCTAGAGCAACCAAGTTCAGCCGACCACCGACCTTCAGAGCCTTTGCCCTGTCCCGAATGCCCACACCCCAGCGGCTTCCTGGGGCCAGAGCCTGCCAGGCTCTGGAGCCAAGAGGCCTTCAAGCCAGCGCTCCTTCCCACTGGGAATGTTATCGTTTTGAATTTCATTCTTCCGCTTCGTTTTAATTTTAGTTTTTAATAGGAGCTGGCAGCTTCTGCAAATTGAGGATGATAAAAGGGACATACCCACCTTCTTCAAACCACCCCACAGCCCACCCTGCACCCTGGCACAAATTCCCCTTCCCTGGAGATCCTGACCCTGCACTCCCAATCCCTCCCCAGTTGCAGGGAGCGGAGACTTGTGCTCTCCAAGTCAGTGCACCTCCCAGTCCCTGTGCCCTTCTCATCAAAGGTAGGGTGGGGCTTCCCACCGCCAGATGCCAAGAACAGAAACAATTTCCACAGCTCTTTTCAAAGGCAAATTGGTGAAGTGAAGCCCAAGAACAGAAACCATTTCCACAGCTCTTTTCAAAGGCAAATTGGTGAAGTGAAGCCCTCTTTGAGAAAGGCTGCCTCTCAGTTCTCCTAAGCCAGCTGGCTCTCATCTAATTCCTGGAAGTGCCCTAAGCCACCCAGGATGCCTCCCCCACTCTCCACTCCGTAGCCCCCAAGGCCCTACTACCTGCCCGATTTGGTGATGATCATCTCGGTACCCAGCTCATGGAATTTGTCCCAAAGCTCCTTGGTCTCCAGGCTGCAGGCAATTTTGGCCATTTCCTCGCTGGGGATGATGGGGGTGGTGGGGATGAGCGGCTCCGTGCAGAGAGAGGAAGAGGCTGGGCTGCTGCTGCCGCCTCTGCCAAACTCCCCATGAGCATCCAGGCTGGTCAGCTCGCCCAGGGGCTGGGCACAGGATGACTTCTCCACAAATTGCTCTGGAGGCAAAGAGAATGGAGAATGACAGCTGACATTGTTCAACAAGGAAAGATTCTGAAAGGAGAACAGTGTAACTAAAATAGGCACCTGGATTTAACTCAGGAAAAGTTAAGCTCAGAAACTCCAGGATGGTAGGTATTACCCATCACTATACAAAATGGTGCCTGGGATTTCCATGGAGTGATGTTCCCAGTGCTTACTTACTGAACCAAACTAGTGAGTTCTAGAGTTATGGCTTGTTACCACCATTACTGAAACCCACTTTGGGGAATAAAAATGTGAGGAGTGGAGAAGGGAAAAGGTGGTGATCATGAGAAATGAAAAGCAAGTATCCTATAGTTATCCTTCTCAAATTATACATTTAGCAGTTGTGTGGGACCTGGTTCCAGTCCTGCCTCTTTAACAACCAAGAGAGAGTCTCTCCATGGAGACCTAGGGAGTGAGGAGATCAGTACCTTCCACACTTTAAGAGGAACTTTTCCTTCCCTCCTGGAGCCCTCTCCCCATAAGATAAAAGGAAAGGATGATAGAGGGGTGGGAGAAAAGTGGAGATGTGGTTTAAAAAAAAAATAGTCACTTCACTTGTGTGCCTGGCTCTCAGTTTTCTAGGCTTAAGGATGAGAGAGTGCAATTAGAACATTTGTAATAAATGTTCTAATGTTATATTTCCTTTCAGCCTACAATCTTAAGAAAAGGCGTTAGCATAGAGCTTGCTAAATCACAGGATCAGGATCTATAGCAATTTTTTGGACCAGGCATGGAACAATTATGGAGGGGTGATGTGTATCATTTTTTTCTCACACACACACAAAAATGTGCTGGAAGTGAGGAAAACAACCCCAACCCTAGGCTAGAGGCCAGTAAAGTGGGAAGACTGCTTTGCCATCCACCACCAGGTTGGAATACCACTGCCTATGAACCAAACATTCTCCTCCACAGCTGATAAGGGCCCAGGACTACACCAGTCACTTTGATGGAATACAGGGGGGCTTTTGTAATCATCCCAATTATTTTCCATCCCTTAAAAAAGAAACTACTTGAATTAGCAATGTGAAGCTGATCGCTTAGAACAACTCTGTTCTAAGTGCCCTCAAGGAATCAGAGCAAGTTTTAAATGTGCATATGTATGTTGTACATGTATATGCTATATATGGGTATATGTGACAGGTATATATCATAAAATATTTTATTTCTCACACTTCTCCTTGACATAGGGAAAATAGGAAATAGAGAAATTTTACCTTTCTTCTTCTCATGCAATGATAATCTAACTCATGGAAATGTTTTAAATTAGTAATAATCAAATTAATTGCCATCCTGATTTTTTTTTCAAATTCAAAGAAAGGGAGCCAGGCCCTGGCAAAATCTCATTTTCTACTGCTATTTTCAGAAACACATTCACATGGTATCTTTATAGGGAATTAAGAAGTAGCCTTAAAATCTTTCTTATTTTCTGACAACTGAAAGAGGCAAACTCCCTAAGACCCAGACCAACGCGTCAGGGTTGGGAACTGGAGGAGGAAGAAAATAAAATATAAATGCTCTAGTGGACTGAGGCAGTTCTTTTAAATAGACTTCGTAAGTTTAAATGGGCAATCACGGGACACTTTGGGAACCCTCCCCTCCACAACTCTATAGTTTGCTTCAACAAAGCTACCAAGTTCTCTCTTAACAGAACCCCTTAGAGTTCCCCTTGCTAGAGTCCGTGGTTTGCAGTCATTGATTGTGCCCTGCCCAAGCGGCAGACAAAAACGCCAGCTAGTTCTTTCAGAGTCTATCTCAAAAGCCAGGGGAAGGATGCTCATTTTACAGACTGTCATGTGGTGAGGGGGTAGATGGGGTGTTGTGAGCTGAGGTGGGCTTTATAGTTGAGGATTTAGAAATTTAGAAAGTAGTATTTCTTAGGAAAATAGAGAAGAAAGTAATACTGAAATGACAGTGCGGCTGGAGTTGGCATGTTTCCCTGTCTGCACTTCTGTCAGGAATTTTAACCTGAAATCCTCTTTTCCTCCTAGGTACCAAACTAAGGTGGGGGTGTTTGCAGTGAATTCAGGGGCCTCCTAAACAAGAGTGGATAATGCTGGGAAGTCCCACAATATGACTTTGAAATTAGTAGTTATTTCCCCCCCCCCAAACAATTGGGGTTTGTTGGATGGGTTGTTTTCATTTTTCCATTTCTTTGGCAGATTTAGATTTAGAGGAGAGGTAAGGGGGAAGAGCCAGGGAACGGGAGTGAAAACCTTGGAGGAGAGACTTTCTGTTTTCTGGAGATCTTCCGGTTTCTTTTTCCTTGGTTCTAAATTGCTACAGGAATTTTAGTTCTCTCGTCTCTCTGTCCAAGAACCTTATTTTTCATCTCTAACATTTCTTCTTTCATATTATTATATTATTATTATTTTGGATATGATACGTTAAAGTGTTGGGATGGTTGGGGGAAGAAAGGAGGGTTAAAAAAGAAAAATTACCTTAAGTTTGCTATGACTATTTTCACTATTTTAGGAATACCAGATAATCAGGATATGTAATAATTATTTCCCCGAGGACCCAAGACATGATGTCGGGAACACTTCTTTCTGTCTCAATTGTAAGGGGATTTTAAAACACTTATCTCCAGCAGTTTCTTTTCCTTACAACTCATTAGTGCTAAGGAGAACATAATCCCTCTTTCCCTTTACTCTGAGCCTAGTGTTTTCTATAAATGGTAAAGGTTGTTAAATAAACAATATAACTAAAAGTTGAGGAATTTAGGAAACGGTTACTGGTTAATGTTTTTGCCAATCTCAACCGAAAATGACGACAGTTATAAAATGATGTCTTACTGATAAGTCTGGAGCTTCTGTGAAGAAAATGTTCCTGTGGGGAGAACTGGCTTATTGTACTGCACTCTACAGCGGTTTTAAGGAGCTGTTTAGTCTATTCAAATCAGAGCGAAAACAAATTTAAACTGGTTTCTTGTGAAGTTGGTTTGTGTCTCCTTGGTTTCAAATGCACAAGCAGGTGTCACATGCGCAAGTAAATCCTGTTGGGCCTTAAAAGGGGGGTTATTTTTTATCCCCGAATGCTTTTATTCCAACAAACATACACACACACATCCCCATATGTTCGACCTGACAACGGGATTCTAGACAAACAGGGAGAACGACTAAACCAAATACAAGATGTGATACTTGCAGTATTTAACAGACTGTGAAGCCTCCAGAGAAAACTTGGGCCGAAAGGAAAAACTTCCCATCTCCGATGTATGGCTCATGGCCTGAGGGTCTGGGAGACTGAGGGACACGCGGATGCGCAGCACCTCCGTCCCCTGCCCACCGCAGACGGCCAGGCAGTTCGACTTACCCAGGGGTTTGATGGTGTTCTCCGTCGCTTCCTTCTCCTTGGAGCCGCCGCTCGACATAAGTGCGGCGATGGAGAAGGCGTTGGCCCGGGAGGAGAGCTGGGGCTTAGGAGACGCCGTGAACTCCATGGCCCCCAGCGCGCGGTCCTGCTCAGGGACGGGGTCTGTCGAACGGCTGTCCAGCTTCCCAAGGAAGACAAAGACCCGAAACACAGCGCAAAGTTTCCGAGTGCAGTGACAGACACAGAAGAGCCGGGGACCCCAGAAGACTCAGTTCAGAGCTCCGCACTGGCCTCTCCTCTCCCCCACCGCAAAGCCCCGGAGCCGCAGAGACTTCGAACCAACTGGAGAGGAAGGAAGAGGACCAACTGGGGACTCAAGCGGGTGCGCACGTCCCAGCGCGCTCGACAGGACTACCCCGTGCACCGCCCGAAGCCAGAAACGAGTATCAGCTGAGCAAAGCGCAGGGGTCCCTGAGCACCCCTTCTGGGTCTTTCCTCCCTCCCAGCCTGGGTACAGCCGGAGCGTCCCAAGCTGCAAGGAGGTGGCTGGCTACCTGTCGAGCTAGGGCGCCAGCGCCAGGGAGCCCAAGCGCGGGCGTGCGGAGCGCGGCGCGACGGACACTGCGCCCGGGCGCTCGCGGCCCTGCGCCTTAATTTGCTGGCGGCGGCGATCGCGGCGGCCCGCAGCCAGTCAGCGCCGCCCCACGTCACCGCTTCCTGATTCCGCCGCCGGGGGCGGGGCCGGGGGCCAGGCGGGGAGGGCACGCCTAGGGCGCGGCGCCCGCGTGCCCTCGCGCCCCTGCGGGACCCCAGCCCAGCACCCGATCAGAGAAAGGGGTACCCCCACCACGCTGGCTCAGTTGCTGTGGACACCGCCGCACCCAGGGGCGGGAGGGCTGTGCGCACTGTCGGGAGAGGGCACTTTTGTCGCGGCCTAACACCCGGGATCCGGGCGTGGCCCAGTTCGGGAACCCAGATCAGAAAAAGCCTCTGGAAGTTCTCACTTCTTCCATTCCTTTTCTTACCCGCGTTCAAAGTTCCAAAAGAAAGTCGGGAAGTGCTAAGTAGAGCGGAAACCGGCGTGGCTGAGCAGGCGCCAACCGGCCAGGTCCCATACTCTGGAAGACTCTCAGGGCTGAGACTCCTACCCGACGGTACCCAAATTCTGTCTCCTTGACCGTGGGGCTGACAAACGCAGCCCTGAGAAAGATAAGCTGAGGGAGAGCTGGGAACATTCGGCAAAGGATGCTGCTCTCAGAACCACGGGATCTGCTGCGCACCGGCGCACCTCTCGCCTGGGGTTCCTATTCGCAAGAGGGACTCTGGAAAGTGGGGCGGCGACGAAAAGGAAGGCGAAGGTCTGGGCTCGGAGCCCTTCGGGGACCACGCGACGCGCAGTGGGAGAGTGCGAGCCTTACAGCTCCCGGGCAAAGCGGACACTGAACTCTTAGCTTCTGCAAATGCAGCTGCGAGCAGGGCTTCCCATTGCCGCGTATGAGGGCGTCCTGTTGGCCTTGTTCAGCTTGAATAACTCAAATTCTCAGAATTCGCAGGATAATCCGCTTCACTTGGAGCCATGTAAACTCAAGCTGACATACATACTCAAACCGTACATGTAAATATTTGCTCTCCTTTCCAGCCAGTAGGTCTGGCGATTAGGAGCCTCTTGCTGGGTCTTAAAATTTTTTTTCAATTAAAATTAAAATTAATTTAAAATAAAATAGTTCCCATTTCTCACTGCACCACGCCAAACTCCTGAAATAAAATTATGGGGGAAAACTGAAAGTCAGAACAGCTGTTGAGAACGTTTGCGTAAACAGAATGATGACATCCAGGAGAGTCAAGATTTAAGCCTGTCTTGGTTATCCTGTGTCAATAGTTTTTAAGAAGGTGCTGCATGAAGGTGACTAAAAAAAAGCACTCTGATATCATTATCGAAGTGCAAAGTGTCTATACGTAAATGTTTGGGAAATTCGTAAAACTATACATTTTGGTGCTGGAAGGCGTTTATGCAGTTGTTTAGTCGGTCTCCATTTGGTTTTGAGAGAGAAAAACTGCCCGGAGTGGCCGAGAGGCGCATCTCCCCTCTAGTCCACTCCACCGGCTAGAGGTAGACGGGAGCGCAGGACTCACACTCCAGGCCCCAGCCCTGATGAGACCCTGGCCCTGCAGCTGTGGCTGGGCGGTTCCAGGGACTTCGATAGTAGCTAACGACGTCTGGCGACCAGGCTTTCAGATTAAACTGCGGTTAAGAACAGAGGCTAACCATGGGATGCATCAGAAGGTCAGTTTCCATTCTGGAATCCTTTGCTGGTTTGGGACAATCCAAACCCAACCCCGGCCCTTCGGTTATCAAAGCCTCCAAATCCCCCCAGACACATACACCACCTTCTCAGTGTAAGTGACATTTCCTCCTTTGGAATGTAGGGCGCACACTGATTCCTTTCCTGTATCAAGTACCTAGGGTTTGTCCACGAAGAAAGATTTCCCTCGACAAGTGGGGTTTTCTTGGGGGGCATGTCATGGTTAGTGTAGATCTTGATATATGTATAAGCTTCAACAGAGTGTCTGAGATCTTGTTTGCTGGATTTCGTTTTTTAAAATTTTCTCTGCAATTATACCTCAACTAAAAAAAAAAACACACCTTGTGATTGCAGAAAAAAAGCCGTGTCTTTTCTTAATTACCTTAATGGCTCATACTGAAATTTGAATAATATTATGAGAATAACATTTTCAGAAAAATTGACGGAGCAAGAGGAAAACTGAATTGCCCCAACTCGGTTTCCGTCTCCTTTGCAAGTGCCAACGCGGCCTGAGCCCAGTTCTGTGTATCTTGTGTGCAGGAAACCCGGACTGTTCATCCTATTAAAAGGTAAAGCACTAAGCAAGAAAAGCTGAGCGATCGGTAGGAGGCGGGAGGCAATCCAGGGGAATTGAAAAGGCCACTTAAACAAATCCGGGCGCGAAAGGTGAGCCATTTGGGGATCCCTAGGCTATGCATCTTGTTGGTGTTGAAACCGCCGCAGTAAAACACATGCTGCAACATTATTATCGCGGGCACACTGTCCTCCTCTTAGATTTATTGCCTTTGTAAATCAATACGGTGCTATAAAAATGGGGAACCTGTGCTGCGCAGAGAGGTACTGTCAAAGGATGATTCAAAGCCGTCTGAAGCGGGCAGTGCCCAATTCTGAGGTCCGTTCAAAACCCCACAGAGAGAGCGGGTTAACAGACAAAACCACGCGCTGGGGGTGAAACTGAGCAATCACATTAACTGGTCCCTAGGCCTTCTTAGGCTGAGGACAGGCTATGGGGGCTGCTTTGAGGAACTGGAAAGTACACTGGACTTGGAAAAGTCTTGAATCCTGACTTTAACGCGTATTAGCCTGGAGACCTCTCAAAGTTTCAGTTTCATCACCTAACTTAGAATAAGGCTAATAATTCATTCCTACCTGGAAGATAGCTCTATGGATTAGTGCGATAATGTGCATAAAACGCCTAACACATAACTAACACCAACAGTTACCCCAATATAAGTAAAACATAATATAGAATAAAATTCTATTTAATTTTTGAACTGCAAATTGATTACAGTGACACCTCTCGCATGCTTACGTAGAGCTGTGTTGATAGTTTGGGAATGTACACAGAGGATTGGAGCCACACGGTGGTACTGGACCGTTATTTACATCCGGTTTAAACTTTGGAGCCCAGGAATGTAAGAGTTTATCATGTGTCTTCAGTTTGGTTATATGGAGTTTGATTATATGGAGCACTGGAAGATGTCTCCTTATATATGCCACATTTTCAAATTCTCATTTGTACCCTCCGGAACTCAGAAAATCGTCGACCACGAGAACGGTCCAGGAAACAATCGGTTTCCCGCTTGTGGCCAATTGTCTCTCCTTTAACGAATACCAGCGCAAACCCCTTCACTGGGGGCTTCAGGAACCGGTCCCTGGCAGGTCTCGCTGACCATCCACAGGCGCCGGAGGCGAGAACAGGGCCAGGTCGGCCGAGCGAGATGCCAAGCGGCAGGCGCCGCCGGCAGCCGCGGTTGGCGGCGGTAGAGAAGGGGAAAAGGGATAGCCGCTTCTCCGCACAAGGGCAGCTACTCCCGAACGTGGTGAGAGATCCCTTCCCTCTCCTCTCTCCAGCTCTTTCCGGTAGAGTTTTAAAAGCGACAGTAACGGGCCTCGGTGCCTTTGGATTCATAAATTCGGCTTACATAGCAGGAAAGACATCCCAAGCAGTGTGGGGAGGGCGGTGGCAGCCCCTCAGGGGCCGCCGCAGCGCGTCCCCGGGGCGCGCCGAGAGTAGCGCGCGGCCCCGTGCCGGGTAGGGAGCGCGCGGGGCAGCCTCGGATTTCACTGCGCGGCGAGAGGGCAGGTCGAAGCCTTTCCTCTGTGGAGCCCGAGCCTCGGCTCCAACGCACACCTCGGCGGGATTAAATTTTCTCGAACCATAGTGGTCCCGGAGAAACGCCTCCTCCCAGCCCAGGCCGCATGAAGTGGCCCAGAACGTCCAGGCCTCGTGCCGACCCCGGAGGCGCCTGGGCCAGACTGCTCGAGGCTCCCTTGCCCAGTTCGAGCTGTGAGGGTAAAGCAAACAGCCAGCTCCTCAGTTTGTCATCTGAAAGTTCCCGGGTGGTGTGCGTGCGTGCGTGCGCGCGCGTGCATTCAGCTCGGGACTTCGCTCGCGCCCAGCTGTGGCACCGAGTAAAGGGATGTACGGGCCTAAGGCAGATCGCGCCCATCTCCAAGGCCCGCATCGTCAGGAGGTGAAGCGAAAGGTCCTTCGGGCTGAAGCCGCTGGCGCTGTGACATTAACCCGCCTGGCTTCAGGCTCGAGGCGGCCGGCAGCTGTGGGCGCACACAGCCTCCACAGCCCGGCCACGGAAGCCTGCGCGCGACCCCCAGGCCGCCCAGCGAGCCTGCCCTGAGTCTCTTCGCATCCTCGCCGCGCAATGTCTGGGGCCTCGCAGACCCTCCCCCGCTCCCTGAGCGCCGTGCCTCACAGCCTGCACACAGGACCGCCCTCAGGGCCGCGACTCTCCCTCTCCTCCCTGCGGCCACTCGCTTCCACGTTCGTCCCCCACTTGCTCACGACCACAGGGACCAGCCCTCTGCTCCCCAGTCTCCTCCTAGCCCGGGAAGAACCCGCGCGCTAGCATTGGGTGCAAAACTCTCATGATCCCAGGAACTGAAAAACAAAAAACAAACCAAACCTCTCCTGACCCTGTCTCCCCCAACCCCTGCACCTTCCTTTTTCCTCTTCCCCTCTTCCTCCGTCTCCACGTGTGCTCCCGCCTACCTTCTGCAACTCCTCTGTTGGGCGGAGGCCGCCTTCCCCCTCCCAACCTGGCTGCTAATGGATGCTCTTTAAACTTTAGGTATTTTGTACATGATGCATGATTTTTGCGTGAATTTTGACTTTTTAGATGACTGCATTAAAATATTATTTTCTTGATGGAGTTTGTTTTGCGTTCCTCTAAATTGTGGGTTCTCACCCTGGTCCCGGGCCTGTCAGGAAGGTAAAGAATTTGATAGAAAATACAGTGATGATAGGTAAAGGGGGGATTTCAGCGCAAATCTGTAGCTTCGAAAGCGCAGCATTTACTGTTAAGGCGTGCAGCGGGATATTAAGCGGGAACATCCAAGAAGGGGAGAAAAG